CACCACATTCCTGGAAGGATTGCAGAGACTGGTGCCACCATCAGGACTTAAAGGTGGGGGTGACTCCCCCACCTCCCCACCTATCCCTCCTATCTGGCCTGGGCAGGAGAGTGCTAGGTCTCTGAGAAGACAGAGGATTATTGTAACTTAACCGGGTGGTGACTCCAATTGCAGCTGCTGTACCAGATGTGGTTTCACTGCTTGAGCAAAGTAACACATCCCCTGGTGTGCAAATACTGATTTAACAAATGCCGTTTTGGTCCATCCCTGTCTGTAATGAGGCCCACCGGAAGCGGTGTGCTCTCTGCGGGCCGGGCCCGCGCTACACCTTACTGTGCTGCCTCAGAGGCACATGAGCGCTCCCGGCCTGCGTCATAACTTAGTTCACAGGGATCTTGTTCTCCTTTCTCTTCCACGAGACACCACACTGGTCCGTTACATCAGTGACATTATGCTGACTGCACCTAGTGAGCAAGTAAACAGTAGCTCACGCTTTCTGACAGCTCTATGTGTAAGAAGTATGCGTGTCAGCTGGTGGGAAGCAGATCTGACCCACTTTAGGGTCCTTCCATGTTGGCGGAATTTCTAGGGGTCTTGTTGATGGGGATGTTCAGATATCCCCTCAAAGGTGAAAGATAAATGGTTGCATCTGGCCCCTCCTACAGTCAAAGAGGAGGCGCCACCCCTAGAGGTTTTCAAAGGCAACACAGTCCCCATTTGGGTGTTCTACTCCAGCTGCTGGTTTTGAGCGGGGCCAGAGTAAGAGAAGGCTCTGCGAGGGGTCCAGGCTGCCATTCAAGCTGCTCTGCCACTCGGGCCATCGGCTCCAGCAGGCCCAGTGGCGCTGGAAGTGGCAATGGCAGGTAGGGCTGCTGTTTGGAGCCTTTGGCCGGTCCCTACAAGCCAACTGCAGTGCAGGCCCTTAGGATTTGGGGGCAAATCCCTGCCATCCACCTTTTGAGAAATAGTTCTTGGCCTGCTACTGGGCCTGAGTAGAGGTCGAATGCTTAGCCATGGGCCACGAAGTTACCATGCGACCTGAGCTGTCCATCCGTGGCCTGGGTGTGATCTGACCCACTAGGCCATGAAGTTGGGCGTGCAGAGCTGCACTCCACCATCGAATGGACAAGGTATACAAGTGATTGGGCCCGAGCAGGCCCTGAAGGCACAAGTAAGTTGTATGAAGAAATGGCCCAAATGCCCATGGTCCTCACTCCTGTGACACCGCCTTCTCTCTGTGGCATCATGGGGAGTGCCCTACGATCAGTAGACGGGGGAAGAGAAGACTCAGTCCCGGGGTGCACAATATGCAGGCATCACCGGACAGTGGACTGCCGCATGGCCACAGCCCATCTCTGCGACATCCCTGAGGACAGCGGGGATGGGAAAGCCTCCCGGTGGGCAGAACTGGCAGTGCACCTGGCCGCTCCGCTCGCTCGGCAGGAGAAATGGCCAGACAGGTCCTCAGATCACATCGTTTCATTCAACGTCATCTCGTTATAACGTTGATGAGAAGAAAATCGTTAATTCCCAGCCACGGCCACTGTCCTGTGTGGAATCTGCAGGGTCTGCCCGTGTTTGCGCGGATTTTCTCCGGGGACTCCAGTTTCTTCCCACATCCCAAAGGCGTGCACATTAGGTGACCGGCATTCCTACACTGTCCCAGCCTGAGTGAGTGTGGGTGTGTGAGCGGCCCTGCTACGGAAGGGTGTCCTGTCCAGGATGGGGTCCCATCCTGCACCCTGAGCTTCCGAGAGAGGCTCTGGCCACTCGTGACCCTGAACTGAAACAATTATTTTCTTACTTGTTTTTATTCATCTTTCTCAAATGTAGGTATAGCTCACATTTATGTCAGTGTTTAACCTTAGTAGTGTTTGGGTCTTTATTTGGAAGTTTGATAATGTTTTTGTGACCAGAAATATGCTGTGGAAATTTAACTCTTGTTTATATCAATTAGCTTATGGTAAAATTGGTTTCGTTATATGTCGTTTCGCTTCAAGTCGCAGTTCCCAAGAACCGATCGACAACGTTGAGAACGTACTGTACGTAGGCTGCGGCCAGTGATCTGGCTGGATGGTAGGGATTTAGAAGAAACACAATTGGAAAATTGGCTGAAATTAAATTTGGGGAAGAAGTATGTGAATAGTTCTCTCTGAACGGGCTAAACACGTGAAGATCTGTGTGACCTCAGTAGAGGAGGATTTATTTTATTTTATTTTATTTTATTTTAAAATACGGAACACTTCATGGATTTGCGTGTCATCCTTAGGCAGGAGCCACGCTAATCTTCTCTGTATCGTTCCAATTTTAGTATATGTGCTGCCGAAGCGAGCACAGAGGAGGATTTTAATAAGCACGTGGACAGGGTGGCCTGATCTGTGGAGTCCAGTCAGCCTCTTTCCCCAGCCCCAGTCACCACCCAACGGGCTCATGAATAAAGTAGCCACAGTGACAGGGTTGGAGGTTATTCATGGTTTTACAACATGGACTTCCAGTCACCAAGGCTGACCTGGTTAGAGCCACTGCTGAGAGCCCAACCTGTCAACAGAAGAGACCAACAGTGCGTCCCTGATATGGCCCCATTCCCCAGGGGGCTCAGCCAGCTACCTGAGGCAGGTTGATTACATGGGACAACTTCCATCATGCAAGGGTCAGTGTTTTGTTCTTAGTGGAAGAGACACTTACTCTGGATACAGATATGCCTTCCCTGCATGCAATGCTTCTGCCAAAAATACCATGCAGGTACTTATAGAATGCATTACCCACCAGCATGATATTCCACACAGTGTCGCTTCTGATCAAGGAATGCACTTCACAGCAAATGCAGTGTGGCAATGGGCCCATGGAACTCACTGGTGTTGCCATGTTTCCTACCATCTTGAAGCCTGGCTTGTTGGAAAGGTGGAATGGCCTTTTGAAGACTCAGTTACAGTGTCAGATAGGGGACAAACACTTTTGGGTCTGTATGTGCTGAGTCAGTGTCCAGTGTGTGGCACTATTTCTCTGATAGCCAGGAGAAATAGCTCCTGGAATCGGGTAGAAACAGGATTGGCACCACTCGCTGACATCCTTAGTGGCCCAATAGCAAAATCTCTGCTGCTTGTTCCCACAACTTTGTGCTCTGCTGGCTTAGAGGCCTTAGCTCCAAAGGGAGGACTGTTTCTGCCAGGAGACACAATGATTCCATTGAACAGGAAGTTACGATGGCTGCCCAGACATTTTAGGCTCCTAGTGCCTCTGAATTAACAGGTAAAGAATTTACTGTGCTGACTGGGGTGATTGATCTTGACTACCAAGGAGGAACTGGGCTACTGCTCCACAATGGAGGCATATAACTGGAATACAGGAGATCACTTAGGACGTCCCTTAGTATTACCATGTCCTGTGATTAAAGTCAATGGAAAACGGCAACAACCCAGTCCAGGCAGAACTACTAATGGGCCTTCAAGACTGAAGGTTTGGATCACCCTACCAGGTAAAGAATTGCAACCAAGAGATTAATCAAAGAACTTACATGTTTATAAGCATAGCCCATGGACACAGACATTGGCATGGGGAAGGCCTGGGGGTGAGGTGGATGCTGGGTGGAGGGAATCAATGGGGAAAAGGGGGACATTTGTAATACTTTCAACAATAAAGATAAATAAAATAAAATAATAAAATAAAATATTTGCAACCAACTGAGTTGCTTGCCAGGGGCAAAGGGAATATGAAATAGATAGTAGAAAAAGGTAGTTATAAATATCAGCTATGAACATGTGAACAGTTACAGAAAAGAGGACTGTAATTGTCAAAAGTATTTCCTCCTTATTGTGTTATTAATATATATAACATATATATCTTTTTCTCTCTCTTATCCCCTTATCATGTAACATAAGATATAAAATGTATTGACTTTACAGCACAGTATTTAAATATTGTTAACTTTATATCTATCATAGTATTTAAATTATGAGATATCAAGAAGAGTAAACACCACTGAAGGACTTTACCTCCTCTTCTAGGAAGGATCAGTGTGGTTTTGGTTTACACAGCATAGTTGCATCATGTACATTAGGTAAAATTAAACTTTGCCATTGTCTTCATTTGGGGATTAAGTATGATTTAAGGAGATGTGTATGAGTGCCAAGTTGAAAAGGCGTGGGACTTGTGATGGTTAATTTTGTGTGTCAACTTCACTGGGTCATGGGGTGTCCAGATAGCTGGTCAAACATTATTCTGGGTGTGTCTGTAGGGGTATTTATAGGTGAGAATAACATTTAAATCTATATTGAGTAATGCAGATTACCCTCCCCAAAGTGGGTGGGCCTCATCCAGTCAGTTGAAGGTCAGACTAGAACGAAAGGTTTGATGTTCCCCTACGTAAGAGAATTCTCCTGCCTGACTTGAAGGTCTTGAAACTGACACATCATCTCTTCCTGGTTCTGCAGCAGCTTCCAATCTTTGGATATGAACTGGGGCATCAGCTTTGCAGATTTTGGACTTGCCAGTCTCCATAATCATATGAGCCAATTCCTTATCATCTCTCTCTCTCTCTTTCTCTCTTCCCTCCCTCCCCCCCGGTCTCTCTTTCTCTCTCTGTCCTATTTATTATGTTTCTCTGGAGAACCCTGACTATTGCAGGGGTAAGATAAGAGAAGATAGTATTAGAATGGCAGGCATCTGAGGGGCAGATGGTTGAGAGCACCAGTAAGAGGGTGGGAAGGGAGAAAACAAGAAGATACTGAGTTTCCAAAAGATGCCTATTTCTCTCTGTGGAGCAATTAAAGAAATCCATGCAAAAAAATCCAGACATGGATGACAGGCAAAGCTAGGAGCAACAACACCTTTACAAAAGAGGTTTGCAAGTGTGTTAAAACTGCCAGTTGCCCTCGGCATTTGTGACAGGATTGTACCAGCCCGCGAGGATTTTTGCCTGAAACCAGGTACTTCTGGGCCTGGCAAGATGACCAAGGCCCTCTGGGAGCTTCGCAGCAGCTCAGCCCAGATCTCGCTCTCACCTCGTACAATGGTGACGTTGCGAAGGATTTCTCCATGCTGCGTATCCACGGCCTTCATCTCCTCCACGATCATGGACAGGTTGCGGACGTTGAAGTCCAGACGGGCACTGAGCAAGCTGAAGCGCTCCCGGAGCAGGTCCGTGGTGCCCAGCATGAGGGAGACGGACTTGTTCAGGTAGTAGAGCTCTTCGGCGTGCGTGTGGAAGCCCAGCGTGCAGGACAGCCGAACGTCGTCCAGGTACTTGAGCATGCTGTGCACGTGGCTGTCGGTGGCATTGATGTTGGTGAAGATGGTGCCAATCTCGATCTCGTGAGAGGCCATGCGTCCTTCCAGGGTCTCGAACCTCTCTACTGTGCGGTTCTGGGCATAGCGGGTGTGGTACTGCAGGTCGTGCATGTTCTCTTCGTGGTCGTCCAGGAAGGATGAGATGTTATCCAGCTGTAGCTGCAAGCCCATGACCTGTATCACCAGGTCGTGCATGCTCTCGGAATTCTGGCTGATGCGCTGTGAGGAGGCCCCCAGGGTGGCCTGGATGTTCTTGACCACTTCTCCGGTCTTGGCCGAGGTGGTGCGCAGGCTGCTGAAGAGCCGGGTGTAGTTCTGCCAGTCGGTGACAATCTTCTGGAGAGTCAGGGTTTCCTCGTCTGTCTTCCGGCGGATCCCATGGATCCATTCTGTAGTCTGCCCCACGGTGAAGTTGATCTGGTGCACTGCAGCCCTGATGTCGTAGCACTCCTGGGTGAGGTCCTTCAGGGAGAGGTCCAGGCCGGCTGTGGTGGCCTGCCAGCCTCTCACTTGAGTCAGGAAGAGCCCCAGAGACTGGTTGACCTGGTGGATGGAGAAAGAACAATTGCCCATCTCCTGGGAGATCTGACTGCTGGTGGTGGAGAGCAGTTCATGGGTCTGAGAGGTCTGGTCCAGCTGGACCTCCTGAGCCAGAAGCATCTTCTGAATTCCCTCCAGCTCCTCCTGCAGTTTTCTGATTTCTTGCCCCAGCTGCCCGGCCTCATGGCAGAAAGAGCAGTTGTTTGGGGTTTTCAGATCTTCAGGAGAAAGAGAGAACATTTTAGTTGCTGAAGGATCATGGGACAAAGGCTGCTTCTTAAAATAAAATATTTCAGAGCATAATGAATCAGCAAGTGGCTTTCCCATTCCTCTTCCTTTCCTAAGTCCTGCTATGAAACCCTTTTTAGAAGAGCCTTGACATCTCTATGAAATCTAGGTATTTAGGATTTAGATCTCCATCTGGCCACCAAATTCCCGGGAATATATCTTCCTAAACTTTGCTGAGGTTGCCAAGAACCTCCCATTTACATTTTATTTTAAAATTTCTCCAGATATGTTGATATCTGTTATCTTATTTGATCTTCTTACAATAAGCTTATGGAGAAGATGGCTCAGGGATTTTTCTCCTGTGACTGATGAGAAACGAGGCACAAAGAAGTGGCTTGACAAAATACCCCTCATCGAGACAGTGCAGAACAGGACTTTCTCTTTCCACGAGAGCAGACCACCTCTAACCCCGTCTATGAAGACTCCTGGCTCATTGTCAGCATGAGGGGGTCGCTTGTTAAAGCAGGAGATAAAGACCATCATGAATCATGCACACTTTAAAGCAGTGATGAGGAGAGGGCCGATCTACCAAGAGGCTTTGGAAGGTCTGAAAATAATTTCAGATATATGAGGATATTGGGGAAATGAACTGTCCTTGGCTTCCTTCCCTACCTGTAGGCTCTGGCCAGATCTGTACTGCACACAGGACCTCCGGCCTCAGGTAGCAGCCCTCCCTGCAATGGGTGGCTCTCCAGCTAGACAGGGAGCAGGGAGCCGTGGCCGTCCTACCTTTTCCCTTACGCCTAGGTTGGCGAAGGCTGCCCTGCTCCAGGTACCAAAACATGGAGCGCACATGGCAGGGGGCTGGGACCCTCGCCCCACCCCAGGTAACATTAGTCTTCCGTCATAGTCATTAGTACATCTGGACACTGGACACTTACCAAGTCCCTGGAGATTTTCCTGCATAGACACAAGCTTCTTGTCATAAATGGCCTGGGCCAGGGAGATGTCTTCTGAGAGAGAGTCTACTTTCCTGAAAACTGCAGGGCAAATACAGGTGAGAAACTGGGGCAGGGTGCTGGCTCAGAGAAAGGCATTTTTATCAGCCCTTCTGTAACCAAAACCATTCACCCTTCTTCTTTTGGGCTTCCCAATGGTGGTGAAGGAAAATTCTTCTTATGACTAGAGTTTGTCACACATCTCTTAAAAATACGTATCATCCGGCCGATATGGCTCAGTGGTTGAGCATCAACCCATGTACCAGGAGGTCGTCGGTTCAATTCCAGTCAGAACATATGCCTGGGTTGCAGGCTCGATCCCTGGTGGGTGCCGTGCAGGAGGCAGCCAATTGATATTTCTCTCTCATCAATGTTTCTATCTCTCTCTCCCTTCCTCTCTCTCTAAAAATCAATAAAAATGTATTTAAAAAATATGTTTCTATGTAACTATATCTATCTATAGACATAAATAGACATATATCTGTTTATATATCTCCCTTAAGTGTACATATCTATATGTACATATACCTGTCTGTTTATATGTATATATGTATGTATATATATATTATAATGTATAATATATACAATTATACATATGTGTATATGTGTATATGTGTGTGTGTGTGCATGCATGTGTATATAGTCTCTCCTTCCAGATTTCAGAACTAAGACCTGATCACAGGATGAATAGAAAAAATTAGGGAAAAAATATAAAGAGAAAAAAAATATTCTTAATCCTGCCACTGAAAGACTACCATCAACATCTTTGTGTAGCTCTTATAATCTCATTTACCTCCACAACCATTCTACAGCTACATAAATATATATATTTTTAGAAGACAATGACAAAAAATTGGGATGTTCTGAATATTTCATCTATTTCATTCTGCTTTATTGGTATCATGTCATGGGCATTTTCCCACTGAGGTTTAAATTATTTTAAAATTATTATTTTTCATGTCTGTTAACACTCTCTATATAAATGATTCAGCAATTATATAAATATTCCCTAATGTTGAGGACATTTAAGGCACCTCCCCTTCCGAGCCTACAAATGAAACGATATGTAAATCTGAGTAATTCTTTTTTTTTTAAATCCTTACCCAAGGATATGTTTATTGATTTTAGAGAGAGAGGAAGGGAGAGAGAAAGAGAGAGAAACATTAATTGGTTGCCTCCTGCATTCGCCCTGACTGGGGATCAAACCCACAACCTAGGTATTTGCCCTGACCGGGAATTGAACTTGCAGCCTTTTTGGTGCACAAGATGATGCTCCAACCAACTGAGCCACTCAGCTGGGGCTAAATCTGAGTAATTCTTGATCCTAGAAATAATCCCTGGATATGATGATAGTGTGTACACAGTTAATCTCTTAGGATAAATTGCTAGAATTAGAATGAATGGGTCAAAGGGTGTTAACATTTTTTAAGTCCTTCATATATGTTGCCAAATCACCCCCTGGAAAAAGTTATACCAGTTTACACCACATGAGCAGCTTCGCACCCTACTAAGGGGTCTGTGCTGGTCAGTGGTTAGAGCACATCTAGATAGCATCAGGATCCCTGGCTTCTTTTACCAGGTGCCTGGCTGGGCCTCATAGTGAGAGAAGGGCCTGGAGTGAATGGAGGGTGGACAAGATATTTTCTGCAGATTCTATGAAGGTCAAGTGTTAGGGGATGGAATGAGCTCCACCAAGAATTCAACTTCTAGTCCAGATTTGCCTCAAATGTGTTAGGTGACTTTAGGCAAGTCAATTAGTCTTCCTGGAGCTCAACTGGATCATCTGTAAAAAGAAAGTCTGAAGCTAAATGACTTCTAAGGTTCTTATCAGCTCCAAAATGCTATGATTCCAAATGTTTTGAAATCTCTGGGCTTTAATTAACATTGTATAGGTCAAAGCTATCGAGAGCTAATGAGTAGGAGTGACTTGTTGAGAGACCCCAGGACCTCTGAGTGAGTGTGTGTCTGTGATGCACCCCAGCATGGAAAGGCATCCTGCCCAGGGTGGGTTCCCTCCGTGCACCCTGAGCTGCCGGGATAGGCTCTGGCCACCCACAACCCTGAACTGCAATTGCTGTGTTGGAAAATAATCTTATTGTTTTCATTCATCTTTCTAAAGTGTATGTAGAGCTCACATTTATTTGAATGTTTAATATTAGAAGTGTTTTGGGCCTTTATTTAGAAGTTTGGTGATATTCTTGTGACCAGAAATATAATGCAGGAATTGAACTCTTGTCTGTATCATTTAGTCTATGGTAAAACTGGTTTCAGTATATGTCATTTTGCTTAAAGCCAGTTTCCAAGACCTATTGACGACAGTAAGTGAGGACTTACTATATCTCTAACCAGAGTGGGAGCCAGGCACCTCCCCCCCATTAAGGGTCGGACGAATGCAGGGTCGGAACCTAGAGTGGGGCACCCTCCACACCTTGCTTGTCTCATTCTAGTCCCAGTCTTGTCTCTAATGTCTAGTCCGTTAGGGCAAACAAACCTATTGCTTCCTTAGTAAGAAGTCTGGATTTTTGAAATCTGAAGCTATGAATGGAATGCGATTGCCAAGAGAAGCTATCAAATTTGTTTTCATCAGTTTACCATAAACTGTTAGCATCCAGAAGGCAGAAGTCATCTGAATCTAGCTGTATGCCATCACCTGGGTCAGCCACCACTCACATAAACTACAGTGTATAAGAGACCCACCAAACTTCAGATCCCTGGGCTTCACTTGTGGGACTCAGATTTGGTAAGTCTGGGTGAGACTCAGGTATCTGCACTCCAACAGACACTGAGGTGACCTTGACGCAGGTGGGCATCCAACCTCACTCTGAGAAACAGTCACAAAGACCACGGAAGGGGCTTAGAAATTGCCCGAGCCAGTGACCTCAACTCCAGATGTACAACAGGATCATCTGGAAAGCTTAAAGATATGAATTAATTCCATTATTTGGGGTGGGGCCCAAGCATCAATATTTTTTAAAGCTCCCAGATGATTCTAACATGGAACTAGAACTGAGAACCACTGATCTAGTCCTAGCCTCTCATTTTATCAATAGGAAAACAGAGGTCCTGAGAGGGAAAGGGCCTTGCTCAAGACCACACAGCCAATTACTGACCAGAAAGTAGGAGCCAGTCTTAGCAGTTGGATCAGACATTGAGATTCCCTGGCTCTGGGCCCTGCCACAGAGACCTGTCTGTCTGTGTAGGGGAGTTTTGGTGCTGGATCCCTGATCAGAAATCCCCTGCAGCCTGGGAGGGCGTAGTGGTGGGGGGAGCCCTGGACTAGCCACATACTGCTGGGAGTCTGCACTCACCCAGAGAAGCCAGCACGACCACGGCCACCAAGAGCAGAGCCAGGAAGAGGTAAAGAATCCTCACGGACGTGTGCAAAGACAGGTTCTTCTGGCAGCGGCTACAGCGGGGCCCCAGCGGGCCTGTGGGGACAAAAGGAGGCGAGTGGCGGAGGCTGCAGCGGAAAGGCCAGTTCCATGTTCCTGCTCTGGCTGGCCTCATTTCATTTCACTTCTAGACTGTCACTCTTTACCCATCTCACTGCCTTTCCTCTAGGCCCTAGAGCTTTCAGGAGTAGAAGAGATCAGAGTCAGGGTCTTCAAGGGACACCCAGCACTACCATCATTCTACCGCATCTTCATTCAGCCTGGCTGTGAGCAAACCCGTCTCCCCGATACCTTGGCCTTACTGCGCATCCACAACCACTGTGTGACCAACTCATCCCGCTTTGCCTAGGGCTTTCCTGGTTTCAGCACCCATGTCACAGGAACTCCTCAATACGGGGTAAACCAGGATGGTTTGCCAAGACTGAAAGTCACACACCCGGGCAACCCTCTTAGTCCCAGGCAAACCAGAAGGTTGATCAACAGTCCCAAAACTTTGCAGGTAACCAGCAATTCTTATGGAAACCAAACAAATTGTCCCAGTCTACCGGGTGGTCCCTAGTACTGAGGAAGGAGAGAACCAGGTATTTCTGGCCCTGTGGCAGGTGACCAATGCCCAGTGGGAAGGCAGTGATGTCCTCAGCTGTAAAGTCTCTAGGGTTAGTTAAATTTCAGCTGCACATCAGAAATACCAGGAATGTTTAAAAATTCTGATGCCTCATTCATACTCCAGACCAAAAGACATCAGCATTTCTGAGCTGGTCTCAGGCATCCCTGGGTGATTACAGTGTACATACAACCATGGGTGAGAAGAGCTGTTCCAGTCTATACTGGAAACCAGCAGGAAGCCCTACTCCAAGTAACAGCTCAGATGGACCAAGCTGGATCCTGTGGGCCTGAGGATGGGCTACTTGGCTGTCATGGGCTACGATGAAGGAAACAGTTCTGGACCAGCTGAAAGACGGGCTTCATGAAGATGACAGAAGTCCCTGACAGTCTCACAATGAGCCCTGGAGACAGATGGCACTTGTGTCAAACTCCATGCCACTCTGCCTTTTTACCCTCCAGGAGGCAGAGGGGAAGGGAGCCAGGATTTTGAAGCCATGTAGGTAGAGAGGCAACTGACCAGTCTGAGGATAGGAGCAAGGAATGGCTCTCAGCACAGAGAAGAGATCAGAGGGCAGCCCCCAGAGCCCTTACCCTCTTGTGTGCACGGGAAGGACGGCATGTCCTCGTCACCAGCCAGCTCCTCTTCTGAAACACACAGCGCATCTCCGTCACCGCCAGCTGACCTCACTGTGAGGGAGCCAAGTGCTGTCAGATGCCAGGCTGAGACCCTGAGCCACACCCACTCCTCTCCAGTGCTCCATTCACTAACAGTCCCCACATCCTGTGCCCACCCCTTCCCGCCCCTGGGTCCAAGTCAGCCCACCTGAGCTCCAGGTGACCTGAGGTAAGCAGAGAAAACAGGGACAAAGGTAAGAATCAAGTGGCTGAGGGACTGGGATGTCCCAATACACCCAGGTAAAAAGACTCCATGTCCTCGCATAAGGTGGACACGACACAGAGGCCAGGTCAGCTTCCTACTTTATATGCGCCTTGCTCAACCCCTTTCAGTGAAGTAAAAAGAAATGAGAGCCAGTTGCTTGGCCTGGCTCAGTGTGGTCCTTCCATTGCCCACCTCATGGAGACTGAAGTGGGTGCATTTCCCCCCAGCCTCTTCCCTCACTCCCCTTTTTTTCAAGGAGCAGACTAGCCGGCCTGAGGCTCAAAATCTTCCACTACAGGTATGGGAGTTGAGCAGTCAGTACCCATAAGAAAACACTGGGGCCAAAACAAACAAACAAACAAACAAACAAACAAACAAACAAACAAAACAACCAGAGTGGCTGTCTCAGGATGATGCAGTGGGCAGGGTCTGGGGCAGTGCCTTCTAGGGTTGGGGTTTACGCTGGGCCTTTGGTCCAGCAGCCTCCCTATGCCACTCACAGCCTAGTCTCCTCCTGTACCCAAGACTCGAGGTTCCTGACATCTAGCTTCTGCATTTGTTAACCCGTCTAGTTTCAGCTCCTAATTTGAATTTATTTATTTTTTGCTTGGTCCTTGGGGATTTCTTGCCCCTATTCTCTTTCAACTTTAGCTATGCATTTGGCAGCCTGCCTGTAGTTATCTAGTACCTAAACTCTATAGTCCCAGGATATTTTGAGCCAGTAACTTAGAAGTAGAAGCTCTAAGTTTGGCTTTCTTTCGTTCCATTTTTTAATGCCATGAGGGCTGGGTCTTGCTCTGTGAGGCAATCTTCACAACAACCCTATAAACTTTATAGTCTAAAGCTGGGGTGGGGAACCTTTTTTCTGCCAAGGGCGATTTGGATATTTATAACATCATTCACTGGCCATAGAAAATCATCAACTTAAAAATAAGCCTGCTCTATTTCGTCAAACATTTAATTAACTCACCCCTAATGTGATGGCTGGAACTGCTTCTCTTTGGTGAGGCCTTGTCTGGGCCAGACCAAATGATTTTGTGGGCCGTATGCCAGCCATATATGACCCAAGGGCCAGATGGTCCCCACCCCTGGTCTAAAGTATCATTTTTAGGGACAAAAAGACTGAGGTTCAGAGATATTAAGAATATTGTTTAATGGCACACAAACTATGTAGTGAAGCCGAGATTTGAACTTAGAAATCTTTGCTACCATACCTACTACCTCCTCAAAGTAATGAGCAAAGATTCTACAAATGCTAAGAAACTGGGTAGAAATGAAGGGGTCAGGCCCATGACTGAGGGTGTGATGGAGCCTCAGGAGCTCCGACAATGACCTGGAAGCAGCCTGAGTAGTGTCTGTGACCTCATTTCCCAAGTGCTGTGACCACTGTGATCAAAGCTGGAGCCAAGTGGCAAAGTGGGCAAGGAACACTGGGTAAGTGAAGGCAGCCCTGACTGGGCTCATAGAGGAGGAACTGTGGGTGACCCTAAATTCAAGATGCCATCATCGCTGCCATGAATGCCCTTTGCTCTGTCTTCCAGGTCACAGCTTATAATATATGTCACTTCCTCAGCGGTCTTCCTGAGCTCTCAGACTGGAGCAAGCCCCTTGTTAAATATATTCCCACATGCTCTATATTTTCCCTTTGAAGAATGCAATCCACCTTTTATTAATTATCCAACCACTCTCTTCCCCAGTGTTTATAATCTGAGGGCAGGGGATGTATCTGTCTTATTTGCCTTTTCCAAAGCACAGAGAAATGCCCAACAAACACAATTTATAGTGAATCTATGAATGACATTGTATTACGCTTTCTGGAAGGGGGTCTATGCCTGCATATGGATTATTGGGGAGCTTGAGACCAGCGCCAGTGCCCTGCACTCAGAGATTCTGAATTAATTTGAGGGAGGGTGGACACCTGGGCTTACATCATTTATTCCATTCGATCCCTACAACTAGCCTGATAGGTAGGGTGAGAAATTATTCTCCTAATTTTACAGTTAAGGAAGCTGAGTTGGGGGGAAGGTTAACTTTTAACACCTGGCTAAAGCCACATAGCCAGCTAGTGGCAAAGCCTCCTGAATCCTGGTTGAGTTTCGTCTTCACAGCAACAGACTCCAGGTAGCCTCTCTTTGATAGAGCTAGTGTGTTCTTGTGTATATGCATGTGTGCACGTGTGCATGTGTGCACATGCACTTTGGAGGACTGTGTGTTCAGTGGCAGAAGGAACGCTGACATGGGCATGACTGATCCCTTTGTACAGGATGGGCAAAAGTAGGTTTACAGTTGTGAGTACACAAAAGTTTATTCTTGTATTATTATTTTTTTATTTTTATTGAGTTTATTGAGGTGCAACTAATTCGAAAGAATATACGCACCCCTATGTTCATTGCAGCATTCTTTAGAATAGCCCAGATTTGGAAGCAGCCAAGTCCCCATCAGTAGATGAGTGTATAAAAAAGCTGTGGTACATTTACACCATGGAGTACTACTCGGCATAAGAAAGAAGGAAATCTTACCTTTTGCGACAGCATGAATGAACCTGGGAAGCATTATGCAAGTGCAATAAGCCAGTTAGAGAAAGACAAGTACCATATGATTTCACTTATATAAGGAATCTAATGAACAAAATTAACTAACAAACAAAATAGAAACAGACTCATAGACACAGAGAACAGACTGGCAGATGTCAGAGGAGAGGGGGTTGGGGGGCTGGGTGAAAAAGGTGAAGGGATTAAGGAAAGAAACAGCAACTCACAGATACAGACAACACTATGGTGATTATCAGAGGGAAAGGGGGTTTAAATGGTGACTTGACTTGGGGTTCTATGTATTATAGAACTGTACACCTGAAACCAATATAATTGTATTAACCAATGTCTTGTATTATTATTTAATTATTGTATTATTTATTTGTATTTGGACTGTAAACCTACTTTTGTCCACCCGTATATGTATTCTAACAGACCAACCTTTCCAGCCCGTTTTGTGTCTTAGGCTGCTATCCCATCATTGATCTGCCAACAGTTCACAAGATATCTTTGCCTGGGAGGGCACCAGGATCACCACGCCTTTCCCATAACTGGGGCCTCTGGCGGGGCCTGCTAGGATTCCTTGGTGCTTTCTGTGCTCTGCCTGACCCAAGTCCTCAGGCCTTCTCACCCCCAGATGATCTCAGCTAGAACAATGTTTCAGGCCATCTCTGGCCCCCTCGGGGAGGTATTCCTTCCACTGTTGGAGCAGAAATGCCTTCTAGGCCTTCCTGCCTCGTTTCTCATTTCTCCCCACCCGTTGGTGGTGCTCCTCTGCCCTCCCATGTGACTAGGACTCCTCCCTGTTCTGGCTCTGGGACTAATTTCATCACTTCACTGTTTATGGCCTTTGCAGGGAATCTGGGAAGACTTAAATCAAGTAAGGCTGACGCCGAGCCTTCAGCAAACACCCCCTTGTAAAGCACACAGCTTTGTCATAACTTTGCTCTCCCTTCAAGAGCCCCCCAAATTGGCAATGATTAGCAAGTGGAAGTAATAAAGGCTCCGTTCCGGTACTTTGCGAGCAGCCCATGGGAAGGGAAATGACAGCTGCCAGAGTGGGTCTCAGCTCTCTCTAGATGAAGGATTCACAAGTACTTGGCCCTATTCCCTCTGCTCACATCTCAGCTCCATAACTCACAACCCCCAAAGAGCTCTCTTCTCTTTCTAATCCCTTGGACTTCCTGTTCGGCAGGGCTGAGCCTCGGGCCTTGGGGACCCTAATTTACCTATGTCAGGAATGCTACAGCAATTCTCTACTCTCGCCCCGTTTGCTTTAATGAGAACACAACCCAAAGCATTTGCGAGGCTTTTATTAAGCCAAGCCCTTTGCAAGCATGGGCTCATTATATTCACATTACCCCCAGATTGTTCCGGTCAGAGGATGGAAGAAGAAACAGACTTAAAGAATTGAGAAAAGCTTGGCTTGAGGACACAGCCTATGATTGATTAAAAGATGATTGATTAGACAGGAATCTGTACTCACCCTTGCCCTGGGCCAAGCCAGCTTAACAAAGACACGAAAAGAATGTTCCTTCCCCTCCCCATCTCCCATGACGGCCCCTTCCAATGTCTACTGGGGTGATCTGACCTAGTGTTGGGTTTCCCAGCTTTCTGAGGTGTTTTCAGAGATAGGGAGTATGGACAAAAAAGAGGCCACACACTAAACTGACAAGCTCAGGGAAGGCCTGCATGGCGGGCCTTACAAACTCAGCGACCAAAAGGAACCACATAAGGTGGTCTGAACATAAAAATTTCTAACTAAAATAGAGTTATGGCAGGCAGCCCATTCCTAGGCCTGTAGCTTCCTTGACAAAGGTCAATCTTTACCTGAAGTCAACCTGTCTATTGATTTTTTGCATCTAAGATAACATACACTTGGAATGTCAGAGTAATCCCCTTTTCCTGGACCCCTCAGGGCACACCCAGCACCAGGGCAGAGGCCACAAAACCTCTCAGTGTTACCTTGTTCCCCAAATACCATCTCTATGTTTGTAAATGCTAATTGTTAACTCTCCTGTACCCACCAATGTAAAAGAAGTATGTGTCTCTCTCTATCCAATCTCAAGAGATTTCCCAGCTTTGCTTTGTCCCACCTCCTTTATCTACCACGAATGAATTTCATGTAACCCCCTTACATCTCCTTCTTGACTCTAACGTATAAAATAAGCTGTAAAACTGACATTCTCTGGAGTATTTTCTCAATCTGTTGAAATTCTGCTTCCAAGCAATTGTCATCAGTTTGGCTCAAACAAACATAAAAATTCTGTACAGGT